AAACCACCTTAGCAGCTTAAGCATTCAAAGTATTCAAAGAATCAGAATCAGATACAGAAGCAGAAGGGACCTTTGAGCAGTGCAGATCCCATTTTACAGCCAAAGAGCCAGAAACTGAGAAAGGTCAAATAATTGTATATTAAGTGTCTCTCATTCTCTGCCTATGCTCTTTTTACAACACTTTTAGATTTCAGCACACAAAAGTCAGATTTCTTGCCTCATAGTTGTAGCAGAAATTTGGTCAAGAACTCAGAGGTTATCTGAATCCTTAAACTTCCAATGGTTAACTAACAGAATACTACTCCCTCTCAAACCAATCAAAATTATACAACTACATGATTTATACCATTACTGCTATGATTAATAAAGACATTTACTTTATAGGCTAACTGGCTATTTATCTGGTTTCTTGATGTAATTAAAATTTGAATAGTAATGGCCTACATAATGAGATTCACTAAATTCCAAATCACTTTTATGTGTTATCATACCTCCTAAAAACCCACACAAGAAACAAGCTGATTTGGATTTAAGTTTCAAAAGTGTATAAATCTCATATTAAAGTAATAGCTTGGTCTGAGTCTATCAAATACAAAAGCAACTATTAAATACATTCAATTCCCTGGATTTATTTCTTTGTAAGTAGTTACTCCATATTTTTCAAATGTTAACCTGAAAAATGTTTAAGGTATCTAATTTTACTTTGATCCCTTAATTAAGTAACTCTAAAAACCCAGCATTCAATCACCTTCTTCCCTGTTGAAATAAGCAGCTCCTCTGCTATTGCTCTTCCTCAGTAAAAACCTCTAACAAAATTTGGGTTTACTGATACGATTCATTCATCAGCAAACATGTGAGTATCTACTCAGAGTCAAACATAGTGTAAAAGTTAGCCATTAACAACAAAAAGCTTAATTTAACAAATAGTAACCTATTCATTTTTGAGCACCAATAACTCCCACATGAAAAAAACAAATGAACAGTTAAGTGAATAAGAAGTCGAGTGAATAACATTAATATGTGGGAAAATATTCTAATGTAGAATACATTTTAATTGTTTGAGAAAATGCCATTTCAAGATGAAAGTGGAAGTAAACAAGGTCAGGGCATATAACTGCTTATATATCATTTTTTAATAATGATTAAAGAGGAGATTATCAATTTGAAAGCAGATTACTAAGAAATTATACAAAATTTCTTTCTCCAATAGAATACAAACTTATTAACTACTCCTTTTATCATTACAGTTTACTCAGTTTCTTGTTATCTTTTACATGAACACACATACACTACCTATTTTCCATACCAATTCCATACAAAGAAATACAGTCCCTTAAAGTTTTAAGTTTCTTGATTATAAGTAATACTCATATTTTTGTTTCACTTGATTATAAATTTCCCAGTCAAAACAATAAAAACAGGTTACAATTCAAGAGAGATTCATCAATAAAGTTGCTCAGCATGAGTGTAGTTCAAAATGAAAAGGTGCAAAATCAGCATATGTTACTGCAGCATATATTTTTTAAAGATTTTATTTATTTATCTTTAGAGGGGAAGGGAAGAAGAGAGGGAGAGAAATATGAATGTATGGTTGCCTCTTGTGTGTCCCCTGCTGGGAACTGGCCTGCAACCCAGGCATGTGCCCTGAGGGGGAACTGAACCGCCATACTCTGGTTCGCAGGCCTGTGCTCAATCCACTGAGCTACACCAGCCAGGGTCCATATTTTTAATTTTTCACATATTATTTTAAGTTAGCTAAGTAATTAATTTATAAAGGAAAATAAATTGCTTGTAAATTCCCTAAATCTTCTTAATTGCTATGAAAAGGAAGAGTTTCAGCCCAAATTGAACCAAATTAGAAAAGAAGAACAGCAAAACACAACTGGATATAGCTTTTCCTGAAAAATGGTAATATAAAATGAGAAAAACATGCGTGTCCATGGGTTTTGATATCTTTAGTTCTTGAGGAAATAACATCTACATTCAATTACCTCCACCACACATACTTTCTTCTTTCAATTTCTTTGGGCTCTAAAAAATAAGTACACTTTAAATATAAATATACAGAGAAAAAACTCAAAGGAGCTTTTAAATGAAGACAAATTTGAACCATATTACAAAATACAGTAAATGTCATATTAAGAGAGTAAGGGGAAGGCTAAGGGAATGAAAATAAAATTCATTTGAAAAGATGCAATTTAATTCTGTGCATAAGATTAATATTGCACCAAATACAAACATTTCTGATTTTCTTCTGTAGTGAAAATGATAATTTAAAAATAGAGGGTTCCGGCCAAGATGGAGGCATAGGTAGACAGACATACTGTGCCTCCTTGCACGACCGAAAGAAGGACCACAACAAATTAAAGCACAAAAAACAACCAGAATTGACAGAAAATCAAACTGTATGGAAGTCTGATAACCAAGGAGTTAAAGAAGAAACATTTATCCAGACCAGCAGGAGAGAGCAGGAGCATTCGAGTGAAGATAAACCAGGAGGAACAACTGGGGAGACAGATTGTGCAACTCAGGGTTCCAGTGAAGGGAAATAAAGCCTCAAACCTCTGACTGAAAACACTTGTGTGGGTGTTGATACAGCATTGAGAGAAACTCCGAGCCTCACAGGCAAGTTCACTGGAGAGACCAACAGTGTCCTATAATGGACACAAACCCACCCACCCAGGAATCAACCCCAGAAGGGCCCAACTTGATTATGGGTAGCGGAGGAAGTGACTGAAAACTGGCAGAGAGCAAAGCAAGCAGCTTTGTTTCTTCTTGGACCCCTTACCCCCACATAGTGACACAACCCAGTGATGTGGGTTGCCTTGCTCTGGTAAACACCTAGGATACACCCCTTACTATGTAAAAGGCATGCTGAGACAAAAAAAAAAAAATGGCCCAAATGAAAGAACAGGTCAAAGCTCCAGAAAAAATACAACTAAGTGGCAAAGAGATAGTCAACCTATCAGATGCACAGTTCAAAACACTAGTAATCAGGATATTCACAGAATTAGTTGAATATGGTCACAAATTAGATGAAAAAATTAAGATTATATTAAGTGAAGTAAAGAAAAATGTACAGGGAACCAACAGTGACAGGAAGAAAAACAGGACTCAAATCAATGGAGTGGACAAGAAAGAAGAAAGAAACATTCAACTAGAACAGAATGAAGAAACAAGAATTCAAAAAAATGAGTAGAGGCTGAGGAACCTCTGGGACATCTTTAAACATTCCAACATCCGAATCATAGTGGTGCCAGAAGAAGAGGAAGAACAAGAAATGGAAAATTTATTTGAAAAAATAATGGAGAAATTTCCCAACCTGGCAAAAGAAATAAGACTTCCAGGAAATCTGGGAAGTTCAGAGAGTCCCAAGGAAGCACACACCAAAGCACATCATAATTACATTACCCAAGATTAAAGATAAAGAGAATCTTAAAAGCAGCAAGAGAAAAGAAGACAGTTACCTACCAAGGAGTGCCCATAAGGCTATCAGCTGATTCCTCATAAGAAACCTTGCAGGCTAGAAGGGGCTGAAAAGAAGTATTTGAAGTCATGAAAGTCAAGGACCTACATCTAAGATTTCTCTGTCCAGCCAAACTATCATTTAGAATGGAAGGGCAGAAAAAGTGCTTCCCAGATCAGGTCAAGTTAAAGGTGTTCATCATCACCAAGCCCTTACTATATGAAATGTTAAAGGGACTCTAAAAAAAAGAAGATAAAAAATATGAATAGTAAAATGGTAACAAACTCACAATTATTAACAACCAAACCTAAAACAAAAACAAAGCAAACAACTAGAACAGGAACAGAATTACAGAAATGAAAATCACATGGAGGGTTATCAGTGGGAGAGTGGGTGGGAAGAGAGGGGGAAAAGGTACAGATAATAAGTAGCATGAATGGTAGGCAGAAGATACACAGGGAGAGGTTAAGAACAGTGTAGGAAATGTAGAAACCAAAGAACTTATATGTATGACCCATGCACATGAACTGAAGGGGGGGAATGCAGATGGAAGGGGGTATGCAGGGCAGAAGGGAATAAAGGGGGAAATGGGACAACTGTAATAGCATATTCAATAAAATATATTAAAAAATAAAAATAGGCCCCAGCTGGTGTAGCTCAGTGGATTGAGCACGGGCCTGCGAACCACACGATCGCGGTTCGATTCCCAGTCAGGGCACATGCCTGGGTTGCAGGCCGGTTCCCTGCAGGCCAGTTCCCAGTAGGGGATGCACAAAAGGCAACCATACATTGATGTTTCTCTCCCTCTCTCCTTCCCCCCTTCCCCTCTAAAGATAAATAAATAATAAAATATTTTTAAAAAATAATAAAAATAGAAAGTGTCAAATATTTCAGTTTTATAGGAAAGAGCAAAGAATGTTAGAAAGTTGTTTATCAAAAACTAAAGACATCTGGGATTGGAGCCATTCACAATCATACCAATTAAATTAAATCTTATGGAACAATTATGGAAAACAGAGGTTAACAGTGGCAAAACTACCAGTGGTCTCTCAATCAAATCCTTTTTATACTCGAAGATTAAATTTCTCTCTTTCAGTCATTAAATAGTTTTTTTAAATGCTTTCTTATCACGAACAATTTCAATTTAAAAATACACTCATATACATTTTATTTCTAAAAATACTGTCATATTCTAAACACAAAAGCAAATAAGAGAAGTGGTTCAACACTGATATTTTTCTCTCTCAATTATTACTACAAGAAAGGATAAAAGAAAAAAAAGAAAGAAAATTCCCTGAGAGATGATTGATGGCCATATTCCAGCTGGCATTTCTGCAAAAAAAGAGTTGGTGGCCAGAAGTCTCAGCTAAACAGTGAGCATTTGCAAGTCTCCAAGGTATATCCTCAGCAGACACATTATCAGATTAAAGAACTGCAAACTGGGCTGAAACCTTTCTTTGTTCAAGCCCAGCCTCTTCTTCCTGTGATGTCATATTACAAACCCAGCAAGCCTTTATTTTGCACTTCAGACAAAGTCCATCACACAATACAGCTGGCAACGGAAGAAAAGCCCTCATTCAGCAAGAGCTAACACGCTTAGGAATTTATTTTGAAACATTTAAAAGACTCTTCTGCTTACCATCACCTGGGATCCACTACAAGAACACCAAAAAGGAAAACTTCATTTTAAAAAATCAAGAAGTAAATAGACCGAATTGGGAATGTTTAAATTTCTGAAAGTCTGCACTGAAAAGCAAACTAAAACTGCTAACTTTAGCTTAAACATTCTGGAGCACAAAGAACTTTAATCTTGGAATATTATCCTGCCTACTGAAATAAAAGTTTGCCGAATGAGTAGTAGATTTATTCCATCTCAGAACAAAACATTTCTTCACAATTTATAATCCGATGGGTTGGCTTCACTGACTACAATTTTTTTTAAGGTTGCTTGTCAGTTAACAAGCCCTGGATTCATCGATTTTCTGGGAGTAGAAAATGAAACTATTTTCCTGTTGAAGAACCAAGTGGAAACGTTACAGCAACAAATTTTATGTTTCTTTTGGAAATTCTGGAGAAAAAGGAAATACTCATAAAACCATCCAAAAATCCAAAGAATTTACAAATACACTGGAGGTTTTAAAGTGGTCCCAAACTGAATACCAAAGGAGGCTGCTGCTGACCAAAGGACTTCAACACAGTAAACTGAACGTGCCTTTATAATGGTAAGCAATAACAGCTCCCAATGCTCCTATGATGACTCCTTTAAGTACACTTTGTATGGATGCATGTTTAGTATGGTGTTTGTGCTTGGGTTACTATCCAACTGTGTTGCCATATACATTTTCATCTGCACCCTTAAAGTGCGAAATGAAACTACAACATACATGATTAACTTGGCAGTGTCAGACCTGCTTTTCGTTTTCACTCTACCCTTCAGGATTTTTTACTTTACAGCACGGAATTGGACATTTGGAGATTTACTTTGTAAAATTTCAGTGATGCTGTTTTACACCAACATGTATGGAAGCATTCTGTTCTTAACCTGCATTAGTGTAGATCGATTTCTGGCAATTGTCTACCCATTTAGGTCAAAGACTATAAGAACCAAACGAAATGCAAAAATTGTGTGCATTGCTGTGTGGTTAACTGTGATGGGAGGAAGTGCACCCGCAGTTTTTTTTCAGTCTACCCACTCTCGGGGAAACAATACCCCAGAAGCCTGCTTTGAAAATTTCCCAGAAGCCACATGGAAAACCTATCTCTCAAGGATTGTAATTTTCATTGAAATAGTGGGATTTTTCATTCCTCTAATTTTAAATGTAACTTGTTCTAGTCTGGTGCTAAGAACTTTAAATAAACCTGTAACATTAAGTAGAAGCAAAATAAACAAAACTAAAGTTTTAAAAATGATTTTTGTACATTTGGTCATATTCTGTTTCTGTTTTGTGCCTTATAATATCAACCTTATTTTATACTCTCTTATGCGAACACAGACATTTGTTAATTGCTCAGCAGTGGTAGCAGTAAGGACAATGTACCCAATCACTCTCTGCATTGCTGTTACAAACTGTTGCTTTGACCCAATAGTTTACTACTTCACGTCAGACACAATTCAGAATTCAATAAAAATGAAAAACTGGTCTGCTAGGAGAAATGACTCCAGATTCTCTGATGTTCAAGGCACAGAGAACTTTATTCAACATAGCCTACAGACCTTAAAAACTAAGATATCTGATAATGAATCTGCTATATAAGCTGCTTGAAATAAAACCCCTGGAACATCTCTGGGACAGAACCTCCAAGTTGCTTCAACTGTGAAAAGCTTTCTTGAAAAACAGCTATTTTTCCACCTTTGAAAGAAAATAAGCATGTGGACATTTTAAAGTTTTTAGTATTAAAAAAAGTTGTATTCAATGTGTTAAGAATTCAAATGTATCCTATTCTGGTATACACTCCATTTTATTTTTCTTAGCCATTTTGATTTGTACCTTCCTCTTCATTAAAAAATCCTTTAAAAAGTTGTTCAAAATCTAAAAGTGATATGGTTTAAGTCACTGATGACAATATGTACTGTCTTCGAAGTTCTTGGTAATTTTATATTAAATAATTTACAAATGTTAAATTTTTATGTAATATTTTTATTCAACATGTCTAATTTCTATTTCATTTGAACTGAGACTACTAATCATGTTTCTTATGCTTTAATAAGTGAGAACAGAGTAATATGAAAAAATAAGTGTTTTTGGAGTATTTTTTAAGAAATTGCTAAAAATTCTGTGAAAAATAGCATGCTAATACAATTTCAGGATCTTGAGCAGTTATAGTTAAAGATAATATTAATGATTTTATAGTTGTATGCAATTCATAAAAAGCAGATGATATCTAATTATATAGTATAGCATGCTTTAAAATTATTATTTGATCCATTTTCTGTCTTTAACAGCACCCAATTTTATAATGATATATGCTATAAAAATTGAAGAGAAAACTGTTATTTTCCTATGTAAATATTTAAAAAAATAAAATACACTAAAAGTACATTTTAAAGGTATACTTATATCACACTAAATAACTTGTATTTTAAGTACCATATTTTACTGTCTCACTATCTATGGTGTTTTTTTAGGTTACAAAAACATCATAGATAGTGAGACAGTAAAATATGGTACTTGGTAGTAAGTAATCAATGTATGTATTACTTCCCTTCCATCTTTGACCATTTAGAGCCAAATAATGAATAGCTGAAAATGTTATTTCAAGTAATCATAATGTTACTATATAGTTAATAATTTATGAAGTAAGGACATAGTTTCTTACATAAAAGCCAGTAAAACTACAGGGCCAAATAACTAAATACAACTACATTTTTATTTCACTAAATATAAAAAGGTATTGCTTTGAGCTATAATATAGATAGGATGCATCTACTACAGTGAAACTCTTTTCTTTTCCAACATATCTTTATTTTCAAATTCAAGCAGTTATCCAGTTAACTTCAAAAAATACTTTTTTGAGAAAAAAGACATATAATTAATTTTAATTCAGCATTCAACCTGCCTGATTTTTATATTTTACTCTTTTAAGTCCTGAAGACAACTTAGGACAAATACTGTTAAGATTTCAATTTGAGTTTTGCTGTTCTATGGGTTTGCACTACAATGATTTCAGAGGAATCATAGTCATTTGCAAGACAAGCCTCGATAGAGTAATAATGAGACATTTTCTTTAGGGATCCATGTGTTTCTTTTGATAAATTAAAGCAAAATAAATTCTTAAAAAAAAAAAAGGACAGTGAAGAAATTAAGCATGGTCCTTTATATCACAAAAGAAGTATACATGCTACAAACATGTTTTCTTTAATTGACTCCTACGTACTCTTTTTTGATATCCTTCTTCAGAAAACAAATGCATCTAGCACTCAAAACATATAGGGTGGGGCAAAAGTAGGTTTACATTTGTGAGTAACTGAAACACAGAATTTATTCGTATTATTTACTATTGTATTATTTTTCATACAAACAACTGTAAACTTACTTTTACCACCACCCTGTATATTTTTGAGTTGAAAAGCAAGTAACAATTTACTGTTGTGGAGGAAAGGGTAGGAGTTTGTTAAACAGATTTCTGAGAACTCTCCTTGGCATAAAGATCTGTGAGCAAGATCTTATAAGAATGGATATTACTTTAATAAAAGAAAAACAAGTCATCAGATAGTTATTACTGTGAAGTTTGTGTTGCTCTCTGGTCAACAGGAAGATGAATCAAAAGTTTTGTAAGATTCCTCACAAAGAAGTACATTAGAGATAACAAATACAAGTTCTCACATTTTGAACTTTTAAATTCTGGGCAAATCTTAGGACCTACAGGGAGAGAAGGAATACTAAAGTTATTTTCTTTGTGAGAGTGGCACTTTATGGTAAATTATATACCATATTGCTAGAGTTTTTCTTTCTCCTTTACCCAGAAAATCTGTATTAATAAAACTCAGAATTTTACTTTTTGTTACCTTAAAGTGACAGTAACAAGCCCTCCTTCCCAAAAAATGGTGTCTACTGTTTTCAACATCTTTATAAAGAAGTTGATTTTAACTAATCTTTCTTTCCACATTAACTCCCTTCAAAGGAACAGAAGATGAGAAGATTTCTGAGGTAAAGAAAACACCTTTCCAGTATCCTAATGATTAGCTCTGAACTTAGAAATGATCTTTTCTGGGCAAATACCAAGTTACTACTTTACCAAAAGAGTGTATGAAAATAAATGCATTGTATATAATATAGCCACAAAAAATTTAAAGAAACTGAAGATACAATTTTATCAAGGAGTTCTGACTTTGGTTTCCACATTCACAATACTAAAAGCAAATTTGAGGTATAATTCTTAATTACAGATATTGATAATTAAGAAAATTATCAATAATCAGCTCTGGCCAGGTGGCCAGGTGCCAGGGGAGCATCATCCGCTACACCAGGGGTGTCAAACTCATTTTCACTGGGGGCCACATCAGCTTCACAGTTGCCTTCAAAGGGCTGAATGTAATTTTAGGACTGTATAAATGTAACTATTCCTTAACTAAGGGCAAGGAGCTCAGTGCTGCTGCTGGGTTGAAACAAGGTGCTGGGCTGGATAAAACAAGGTGGAGGGCCAAAGTCAGCCCATGGAACTTGTGTTTGCCACCTGTGCCCTACACTGAAAGGTTGTGGGTTTAATTCCTAGCCAGGGCACATACCTAGGTTGCATGTTTGATTTCTGGCTGAGGTACGTACAAGGTAGGGGTTAGAGGGACTGCAGCCAATCAGTTTCTACATTTCCCTCCTTCTCCCTCTAAAATCAATAAACATATCCTTGGTTGAGGGGAAAGAGAAAGAGAGAAAGAAGAAAGGGAGGGAGGGAGAAATGAAGGAAGGAAAGTTGAAAAATAGAAAATACAAAAATGGAACATCAGTTGAAAAACATTTAATATATGAATGGTATGTAACTAGCAAGAGACTGAAGCAATAAACTTTTAGTCCTGTAATTCTGGACCCCTGATGAACCAGAAACTTGGTCTTTTGTCAATATATGAACTCACTACTGCTTAGCATAGTGAGTTATCTTTTTTAAAAAACTTTATTTAGTTATTTTTCAAGTACAGTTTTCTTTTGTCAATTTCTCCCATCCCAGCCCCCCCTCCGCCCCGTTTCCCCACCTCCCTCCCATCCCCCCCCCAGACCTCATCCGTGTCTTTCATACTTGTTCTTCAAAATCCCTCCACGTTTTTCCCCTTAAATTCCCTTCCCTCTCCCCTCTGGTCCCTGCCCACTTGTTCTCTATTTTAGTGTCTTTGTTATTATTCTATTTGCTTGTTTATTTTGTTGTTTAGCTTCCTGTTAAAGGTGAGATCATATGGTATTTGTCCTTCAATGCCTGGCCTATTTCACTCAGCATAATGCTTTCCAGTTCCATCCATGTTGTTGCAAACGGTAGTAGCTCCTTCTTTCTCTCTGCCGCATAGAATTCCATTGTGTATATGTACCACTATTTTTGGATCCATTCATTTACTGACAGGCACCTAGGTTGCTTCCAACTCTTGGCTATTGTAAATTGTGCTGCTATGAACATTGGGGTGCATAGGTTCTTTGAAATTGATGTTTTAGGATTCTTGGGATATAATCCTAGCAGTGGAATTGCTGGGTCAAAAGGCAGGTCAATTTTTATTTTTCTGAGAAAATTCCATACTGTTTTCCATAATGGTTGTACCAGCCTGCAATCCCACCAACAGTGAACTGAGGACCCCTTTTCCCCACAACCTCTCCAACATTTGTTGTTTGTTGCTTTGTTTATGATAGCCATCCTGACTGGTGTAAAGTGGTATCTCATTGTGGTTTTAATTTGCATCTCTCTGATAGCTAACGATATTGAGCACCTCTTCATGTGTCTCTGGATATTCTGTATGTCCTCTTTGGAGAAGTGTCTGTTCAAGTCCTTTTCCCATTTTTTAATTGGGTTCGATGTCTTCCTAGAGTGGAGTCGTGTAAGTTCTTTGTATATTTTGGAGATTAAACCTTTGTCTGAGGTATCATTGGCAAATATGTTTTCCCATACAGTTGGTTGTCTTTTTAATTCAATACTGTTTTCTTTAGCCATGCAGAAGCTTTTTATTTTGATGAGATCCCATTTGTTTATTCTTTCCTTTATATTCCTTGCTCTAGGGGACATATCGGTAAAAATGTTGCTACGTGGAATATCTGAGATTTTCTTGCCGATGTTCTCCTCTAGGACTTTAATGGTGTCATGACTTACATTTAAGTCTTTTATCCACCTTGAATTTATTTTGGTGTATGGTGTAAGTTGGTGCTCAAGTTTCATTTTTTTGCACGTAGCTGTCCAGTTCTCCCAATACCATTTGTTGAAGAGGCTATCTTTACTCCATTTGATGTTACTGCCCCCTTTGTCAAATATTAATTGACTGTAGAGAGTTGGGTTGATTTCTGGGCTCTCTGTTCTGTTCCATTGGTCTATGTGCCTGTTTTTATGCCAGTACCAGGCTGTTTTGATTACAGTGGCCTTGTAATACAGTTTGATACCAGGTGTTGTGATCCCCCCTACTTTGTTCTTCTTTCTCAAAAGAGCAGTTGCTATTCGGGCTCGTTTATGGCTCCATATAAATTTTTGAAGTGTTTGTTCTATGTCTGTGAAATATGCCATTGGTACTTTAATAGGTATTGCATTGAATCTGTATATTGCTTTGGGTAGTATGGACATTTTGATGATGTTCATTCTTCCAATCCATGAACATGGTATATGTTTCCATTTGTTTGTGTCTTCCTTGATTTCTTTCTTCAGGGCTGTGTAGTTTTCTGCATACAGGTCTTTTACCTCCTTGGTTAGGTTTATTCCCAGATATTTTATTTTTCTTTTTGCTATATCAAATGGAATTTTTTCCTTGACTTCTGCTTCTGCTGATTCATTGTTTGTATATAAAAATGCCTTTGATTTCTGGATATTGACTTTGTATCCTGCTGTTTTGCCAAATTCATTAATTAGTTTGAGCAGTTTTTGGGTAGAGTCTATAGGATTTTCCATGTACACTATCATGTCATCTGCAAACAGTGACAGTTTTGCTTCCTCCTTTCCTATTTG